AAGGATTATAGCATTTTGAGGGTCTATATCGGGGTCCCCTTATGCCGGGAAATTCCCATATAGGCTGGCAGGGCAGAAAAAGGCATTACGAGCAATAATCCCATATGGAGCATGCTGTTGAAGATCGGCGCGCAGATCCCCCAAATGGTCTACGTGTGAAATGTTTCGATAGATTTCGTGGGCTACTATTACGAGACAGACAATATTTGACCTCATTTGGCATCCACCCTTGTGGTACGAACAGGTACGCCGCCCTCTGAAGTGTGGGTGGGGCATGCTGTTGTGGACTCTGCGGACAAGTTTGGGGATTCCATGCAGGCCAGTGCCACTTGCTGCTCCTGACACCTGTCTGATTAGTCCATACCCTGAAGCCCTAAATGGTTTATTCATTCCAAGATAGTGTTCCCAAGATGCTGCTCTGCGTGTCAAAGAATATCCTTGTAATATCCCCATAACACCTTTACATCATCTCATAGCATCCCTATGATGACTTGGAACAGAAGCTGCCAACCGTAAAGCCTCAGACACACGTGCCAGGTCCGATTCCACCTTTGTGAGGCGCCCCTGCATTGTCGCTGGGAAAAGTATGTTCCTTACCGGTCTAGGGCCTAGGGCTAAGAGGACATGGGGAGTGAGCATCTGTAATTTCGTTTATTTGATTCCTGTTCATACCTTTTTAGCAGTACCTTATTTGCTCCCCCATTCCCCATTAGCGCCAGTACAGTTCGCCCTGTGCTAGAAACAGCAGGTAACCCCAACAAGACCGGAATGTGTGATGGGGTCTTGATAGGGATTGAGGTAATTTTCAAAATGCTGGATCCTTTTTGGTAATCGATTCTAATAAGGCACCTAATACTTGGGTTACCAAAATGGGACTTTAATTTGAGGAACTGCCCATTGTATGATTTGCGGGTAGACAGGAACCTCTACTTCTGGACATACCCAACTCCAACCCCCCAAGGCTTCAAAGTCTCGACCAAGCGCTTTGAAGCCTTGAAAGGTCTCCAGAAAAGTGGGCCTGCCGCGCGGGCTCCGAGGCAAAGAACCAGTACAAGGCCATAATCGAAACTCCTTCAAAGGGGGGTTGTATAGGGGATTATATAGGGGAGTATGACAGGGGTTATTAACGTGGATGCTAGGATCTAGCTCAAGTGCCTGTGATGTGCCAGAAGCAAAGCTATGAGAGCCTTCTGTTTGTGTGATCTGGATACATATTAATTTGCACTTGTACTGTTATCACATCGTCAAGGAACGTCCATCACCGCCCTATAGTAGTCCCTGTATCTTGCCTTATGGCCCCTTGGTATGGGCGATCCCCATAACTCGAAACCCTAAACCCTAAACCCCAGACGCTAAACCCTATGGCCGTATGAGGCTTCAGCAAGATGGATTTCATTATCATTGCTTCGCCAGACTCGGTTCACAAGGGCCATGATCTCATGGATGCAAGACATTCGCACAAAGTTTCAAATTCCGCTACCAGCCATGCATGAGCAGGTGCTTCATTCCTGAAGATCAAAACAACAAGGGGTTTAAAAGCAAGATGCAGTTGGACTAGTCTGTTTGCGCCTCCAGACCTACATCTATATTCATAGTTCTCCAGCTACCCCCCCATTCATGCATTGTGATACCGTTCTGGGGAGCTTCTCAGCTTGCATCCTACATAGTAGCATCCGCGCGAACTTCCGAACAGTCAGCTTGCCTAGCGCATCCAAGTTGACATGAAGCGGTCACCGTCGGGCCCTCAACTGCGAGTACTTGGAGTTTCAAGGGTAGTTGTAAATGGGTCATAATCAGAATACGTACGGTTGCACCGAATCTAGAGGATTTATGAACTCATGCACCTTTCAGCACTTGATTTTGCCAATTCAGAGCTTTGCTGCTGAGTCGAACAGAAGTCCTTTCATCTAAAAACCTGAGTAATCAGTAGCATTATTCCCTACCGTTTGGAAGCATTCCCTCTAGAGTTGTGGTATAGATGACCCAAATTAAACTACTCAGTCTAAGTCGCATGTACAGCTCCCAGGTCCAACAAATGTCTGCTCTTGTTCCTTGCCATCCTCACACCCACAACCGCCAAGCAGCTCTTTGACATCGACCTCAGTACCCTCTCCAAGCCGCCCCTTTGGGAGCCTACCTTGGAAGAATACTTTCCTGGGCAGCGTGGTGAGACTGGGTTGCTGTTAAGGAACCTCAATTAAGTTACCATAATGGGTATATATGGTAAATAATAGGGTTTCCCTCAATATAGTAACTTAATTTAAGTTCCTTAACAGCAACCCAGGAGAGGGATGAGCAGGGCTTGCCGGGTGCTGTTGTGCTCAATAAGCCGAGTCGAGAAGAGTTCCTGTTCCACGCCCGCCGGGGCTACCCCATCATAGTTTCTGACTGGGCTGATGGGATGACATATGCTGGATGGACATGCAAGGACTTTGCTGAGTCATTTCCCTTTGGTTACATGAAAGCTGAGTACATCCACGCCCTGCCTGGGTTTGATCGAAAGAAGCATGACATCAAGATGATCGATGGTGAAATGCGATTCAAGCTTGGCTCCTTCAAGCCAGACGGAAAGACTTGGTGGCACAACTTCTCTCGACCTGCATCGAAGCGATATGCAGACGACCCCTTAAAGCCCAAGCGGGGGCCGTATGTTTGGCATGTGAAAGATGAGCTGCCTCCAAAGGAGAAGCGCAAGGTACAGCAGCGCTTTGAAGCACCATCCTTTCTACAAGACCCACTGAACAAGGCAAAGATGAACAGGAGCTTTGAGGTATGGTTCTCCCCGGGTGGGCACTGTGGCGCAGGAGCCCATGCCGACGGTTACTGCGAATCTGTGGTCTCACTGCAACTTCGAGGGGATAAGCGATGGCGCAAGATGATGCTTCCCAAAATGTCGTTCTTGGATTCATTCGATGAATTTGATGGTGGCGTGTATGATGCTGGGAAATGGGAACCAGATCTAGGCTTCTTGAATTCCCAGAAGGGAGCAGTGATCTGGCCTCCGGGCTACCTACACGAGACGTCTACGCTGCCCCCGGCTGATGCTAGATTGCTGTTAAGGAACTTACATTGAGTTACCATCATATGGGTACAGAGTAAAACATAGGGTTTACTTAATACTTAATTAAATGAAGCCTAAACCCTAAACCCTAAACCCTTAACAGCAACCCAGGATGGGGAGTGCGGCTCAGCCCTGACGCTGCAGTACGCCTTCCCACAGCCAGTTCAGTTCCTTCGTGCTTTTCTGCCCCGCTTGTCCCTATCCGCAGAAGTGGGTCAGTGTGTAGCAATGGCATGGTCAGGTTATGCTTCCTTTGAGGTCAGGGGAATTTCGCCCAGTCCCAAATCAAAGAAGATGGAGGAACAGTTGCAGAAGATCCTGAAGCTGGTTGACACAGATGCGAATGATGAGATCACCGTGGAGGACTTGGGTTGGGCTTGAAAAGCACACCTTAAAGCTTCTTCTTTGCAAGTCATGGTGTGCAAACTGCAAATAGGCAGCGAAGAGCAACGTCATTTGAGAAAAACCAACAGTCAATGAGATCAAGGATGGCCGGATATGCCGCGCCAGCAATGATGCTACCGCTAGTAGAGCACAATCAAAGCATTCCCACCACTACTACTCCCACGACTCATCCCACCCCTTCTACTCCTACAGCTCGCTTTCTTTATCATTTCTACTGCTCCTACGCTTCTGCTCGTACTGCTGCTACGGCTGCTGCTGTTGCTGCGACCACCACCACCACGACGACTACTACTACGACTACTACTACTACTACTACTACTGCTGCTACCGCTACAACAACAACAACAACAACTACTACTACTACTACTACGACGCCGACGACGCCGACGACGCCGACGACGCCGCTGCCGACGACGCTGACGGGGACCGGGACGGGGACCGGGACGGGGCCGCGACCGCGAAGACGGCGACGGCGGCAACGGCGATGACAGCGACCAGCAAATCTATCAAGAGTACAGCATAGCTGCTACTGTTTCTGAAGGCTGCTGTTGTTTCTTCTTGTGCTTCCACTGCTGGCACTTTATGATTACTTCTGCTGCTGGTGCAATTTGTTGCAGTCGTGGTGTTCCAGCGATAGCTCTACAAGACCGTAATTGTACAAATCTGAATGCCAGCTCAGAACACATTGACCCTCACTTGCTAACAGCGCCTCGAACCCTAAAGCCCTAACAGCTTATCTTCAGAGCTGATGCCTAACCCTGCATGCTGTGAGCCCCTCACGACTCGCTTGACCTGCAAGCTCCTAAGCAATCGTATACCCTGACAGAACGAACCTTAAGTTTTGACCCAGAAGCCTCAAAGCTCCCTGTGTCTGGAGGAAGCAGGAAGGTAGGCACGCAAGCTAGGAGCTGATCATAACTTAGAGTTACTTTCCGCGCACGGACATAAAATCCGAAATGTGACCCCATCCACAATCTCCCAAAACACGTGTTTATCCCAAAGACCCTAAAGCCTAATCCTAAACCCTAAACCCTAACCCTATTTCGGGACATCCCTTATTCAGAGAGGAAACCATCGCTTGGTTTGGGAGCGGTGAGTCTTCGGCTCTTCAGCACCTCTCAGACCCTGAATTTCTGAAGCACAAGGACTTGGGAGTTTGGGGGTTCAGGTGCTAAGAGGTTGAGAGTTTAGAGGTGTGGGGTTGAGGGGTTCAGGGGTTTAGAGGTTAAAAGGTCAAGGGTTAGGAATTTCGAGTTTGGAGGTCAGGATTTGGGGAGCAGGGCTTAGGCTTCTGAGGTTTAGGGGGCTAGGATGCTTCACGTGGAGATATTTCCGAATTCGGGTAGCTTTGCAAGTGGTTCAGAGTTTAATTTCCTGGATTTGAGCGATGTCGGCTAGATGACATTCTAGCGTGGAGGAGGTCAGAGTCATCATCTCTGTCGAACAAATACGCCTAAACCCTAAACCCTAAACCCAGTAGTTTCCATTTTCTTTTCCATTGTCCCAATATTACCCCAATATTCCCATATAACCCCTAGTTTAGAGAGGCTGGAAGGCACCTTGCTCATCCCGGCATGAAGAATTTGAAGTCTACTTGCATGCCTTGCCACGTTTTTCAATGCGCCCGCTGATCCCTTGAAGTGTAAAAGGGAGCCCAGTACTTTTGGGTTCCTAGATGGAAGATGGTCTTCTTTCTCAGTGGGAAAGGGGTTCAGAGGAAATTTAGAAACCTTGTGCAGGATCTACTCATCAAGTTCAAGGCAGAGGATACGGTGGCCTACCATGACATGAACGATGACATGAAGGTCTCTCGCCAGGAGTCGGTCGAACAACTCTTGACTAAACTCTAGACCTGGGCCCAGAACCCCTAGCCCCTATAGTCCCCACTAAGTAGGAATATGGTTTGGGGTATATTATATTAAGATCCCCATATACCCATGTACTATCTACTTAAGGGGGACTCTAAACCCTAAACCCTAAATAGTAGTTTCCATTTTCTTTTCCATTATCCCTATATAACCCCCCTATATCTCATCTACTTAAGGGGGATTATAACCCCTAAACCCTAAATCCTAAACACCCCTATATCCCATCCACTTAAAGGGGGTCTATACTATACCATGATATACCAGAATATACCAGAATATTCTATAATATGCCATAATATATTATAGTCTATTTTAAACTACTCTAAGGGGGACCCCTAAACCCTAAACCCTAAACCCTAAACCCTAAACCTCAGACCCCAAACCCGGAGGAGCTCTGGGATTCGCTGGTACAGTGGAATGTCGTGAGGGCTGGGCACCTGGAGTCACTAAGGTTTTATAGGTGTTATTATTGGGGTTATTATAGGGGTTCTAAGGGATTATATAAGGGTTCTACTGGGGTTATTATAGGGGTTATGTAAGGATTCTAAAGGGATTATGTAGGGGTTATTATAGGGGTTCTAAGGGGTTATAGAGGGGTTATTATAGGGGTTCTAAACGGATTTTTTACGGGTTCTACAGGGGTTATGTAGGGATTCTATGGGGGTTATTAGAGGGGTTCTAAAGGGGTTATATAGGGGTTATATTAGGATAATGGAAAAAAACCACTGTTGTTGCCAGTTGAAATTCCGTTCTTATTGCAGTTGCTCCTCTTTCTCCTACCCTTCTCCCGCTCCGTCCTTCTTCTGGTCCCTGCCAGCCTTGCAGTTGTCGATGTACGTGCTGCTCGTTCATGCCCCAATATATACTCTCCCCCAAACTAACATGGAAACCCATATAGCCCCCCCTTAAAGGGACTGTAGTCTTTATAGGGCCTTTTTTGGGTTTCCATGTTAGTTTCTGGGAGGGTACCCAATTAGGCTACAGTAGTTTCCATCCGCTTTTCCATTATCCCAATGTGACCCCTATAACCCCTATAATATAGTAGTTTCCATTTTCTTTTCCATCATCCCAATATAACCCCAATATACCCTATAATCATCCCTGTATAACCTTGTATAATCCCACGTTAATATACCATAATAATACACCATAGTAATATACCATAACAATATACCATAATATACCATAATATACTTTGATATACTATAATTTACTATAATATACCATAGTAATATACCATAATATACCATAATATACTATAATCCCCATATTACCCCTAAGAATTTCATGCAACGATGCAGGTCCGCGTCAGTGAGGGGCTGAAACTGTTGAACCAGGCAGATCGAGAAGGACTGGAGGCCGGGTTCCAGTTCAAAGCTGTTCACTGGGGGTTTAGGGTTTAGGGTTTAGGGTTTAAGGGTTTAGGGTTTAGGGTTTAGGGTTTAAGGGTTTAGGGTTTAGGGTTTAGGGTTTAGGGTAGAGTTGCTGTTAAGGAAGTTAAATTAAGTTACCATAATGGGTATATACAGTAATTAATAGGGTTTCCCCAAGACAGGAACTTGAATTAAGTTCCTTGACACCAACCCAGTATTCAATGACTGTCACCTTGCTAGTGTCAAGAAGGGTTTGGGGTTTAGGGTTCAGGGTCTAGGGTTTAGGTGGCAAGAGTACTAGTAGTATGAAGGGAGTGTTAGTAGTAGTTGTCATTGTAAGAAGAGAAGCAGTGACTGCTGAACAAACCTGGGTTCCGAACGTAACATGCTTACAAGCCTTGCTACCAATTTGGAGGTGGTCCTTTCATGGGGGTGGGGATTAGAAGAAAGGTTTTGGGGGGAGGGGGACGGCAATCTCGAAAATGTCCATCTCCAGTTTGTACTGGTGATGCAGGCTCAGTCATACTCCTACTAGGTCAGGCCCCTAATGTCCTCAACCCTGAACCCGAAATCCTGCACGCTGAGCTGCTGTAAGGTTCCTATTCGGCAGTTTCATAATTAAGGGACCCCAACATAGGACCCATATTACTATAATCCTTATGATAGACCCAATTTTTTGGAAGCCCTTATCCTTATACTCCGCTGTTTAATCTCAGTCTCCATGTACCTCCATTTTTTCCATTCGCATCTTCACTTTCAGGACTATATTCCTAAAAAGGTACCCCTACTTTTGGGAAACCCTAAACCCCTTTATATATCCCTATAAATCCCTATAGACCCCTAAGCCCTAAAACCCTAAGAACCCTAAACAAAAAAACCCTAAGAACCCTAAACCAAAAACCCTAAGAACCCTAACCCCTCTAAGGTACCCCGTTTGGGTCATAACTCCTTGCACACCCTAGACCCTAAACCGTGAAGCCTCAAAGGAGGAGCCCTTGGAGCTCTGCGGGGATCTTTCAAGTCTCCCAAGAAATTAGGATTTTAGGATAATGGACACTAAGATGGAAACTAGTATGTCATATAGGGTTACATAGGGTTCTAGGGTTTTGGCGTTTTAGGGTTTTAGAGTTTTAGGGGTTAAGGATTTAGGATTTAGGGTTTTAGGGTTTTGGTTATATATAGGGTTTAGGGTTTTAGGGTTTTAGGTTTTAGGTTTTAGGGTTTAAGTTTTTAGGTTTCAGGTTTTAGGGTTTGGAGTGTGGGGTTTAGGGTCTAGGGTCTAGGGTTTGGGGTTTAGGGTCTAGGGTTTGGGGTTTGGGGTTTAGGGTCTAGGCGCTAGAGTCTGGGGTTTAGGGTTAGGGTCCTTGGGGATCATGTAGAAACTTATAGAAAAGGACATGGACAATTAACTGGCAACCGGGATCACGTTTCCAAAAACAGAGAAGGTTCTTCCAAGAGAGCTCTCTTTCAGCAATCCCCATGTACATGCCGCCAACAATCAGTATCCCCCTTATCCTATATACCCTAAGCCGTAAGCCCTAAACCCTAAACCCTAAGCCCTAAGCCCTAAACCCATTACCCAATATCTCTTGCAGGCTTTGGAGCGATCCTTGGACTATCTACGCAGGGAGGCGATCCAGCTTCCGAAGTCGATAAGGCTCGGGTTTTGAGTTTGGGGTTTAGGAATTAGGGTTTAAGGGTTGGGGTTATATAGGGT